GAATTTCCTAAACACTATAATTCAAGTTGGAGATTTGATTATTAACTACGAATAAATAAAGCAAAGAGATACGAAAATTCAAAAGCAAACGATTAACTTAATTATAAAGGAGTTAGGGAGTCAGGGACAATTGTTTTTTGTTCTTGACTCAATTACCAGGCAATCAATTGCTCGGTTACGGGGTTTGAATCGCCTACTCGTATGGAGGTTCACCTTCAATAACTCTTCGTAACAAGAAGGTGAACATACACGAGCAACTCATAAAACCCTACAACACATAGACAATACAATAACGAACAAGTCTATTCCAAACGAGCCTAAATCGACCTACGTCTCCCCTTTCGGTTCTAACGTCGATTAATTAGGTTAAATTGGGGATCAATCAACTAACCCTAGGATGAGATCAACTCGCATAGATAGAGCAATTATCAAACACGTAATCGAACGAACCGCAACAATTATCCCCTATCCCTAACTTATGGAATTAGCCACTCATCACAATATCAACCCAAGCATTCACAATAAAAGAAGCCATCACATTCATGTATAAGATGAAAGAGAAGCTTACGATTAATACCAAATCCAATGTCGATAAAACAACGAGCAACCGAACCCAAAAGCTAGAAACGAGTTCTTCAATCTCAAAACCCAATCCCAAAATGAAAAACAACTCAAAAAATAGTGTTCTATGGTGGAAAAAATATGAAAGAACGTAGTCTAAATGCCCAAAATAACGCCTCCAATCGATCTAATAACCTTCCCCATTTCAAATTCCATGAAATCTGCGATGGCCTTAAAACAGACCTTAGCGACGCTAAGGGGTTAGCGCCGCTAAGGCAGGTTAGTTGCCCGCGTCTGTCCGAGAGAAACTTCAAAGCGGCGTTAATACTGGGGCCTTAGCGGCGCTAAGGTCCCGTGGTCCAAAATCTTCCCCTTTTTTTTCTACAGCTCGCGTGCTCGGCTACGTCGCTCGGGTACTGCCCGAGCTGGAAACTTCATTCTCGCATGTCTGAGACCTGCAAAATGCTGCTCGAATCATCCACTTCTCATTATGTTTGGACACTCGCCAGCCTGATCATCCTACGACCTGAAATCGCAACACCAGAAAAACACGAAAAGCAGAGAAAATAGAAAAGAAAACACAGAACAAACCTAAACACATCAAAATAACAATAAAATGCAAGAAACGACAAAAGAGGCCGGAAATACCTAAGAAAAGACCTAAAACGGGGGAAACGACACACAAAATATCAAAGAAAATAGTAACAAAAACGGGACAAACATTTACCATCATCATTCTGTAATATATAAAAAATTAGCATATTACAAATCAATACAAAATGAAATGAAAATTCAAAATTCAGTATATGAAAACATATAGGTGCAGTATATAGACAATGCTCCTAGCTTTCATATGTCTAGCTTTCATCTCCTACCTTTCATCTCCAACAGAAGATGTCTAAATACAAGTTAACCAGTCATCTCCAACAGAAGATGTCTAAATACAAGCTGACCACATATTGTTCCTCATTAAGACCTCTAATTTTTTGTGATTTCCAACATAAATCTCACACATCCATTATCCATATGTGAATCCTCAGAAAATACAAGCTACAAACATAAATCACACAAAAAGATTACTCAGACTTCACATACAAACAACACACATCCTCTTTTCTAATAATATTGTTCATTAGTAAGAAGATCCTCATTCAATTTGCTGGGTATTTTATAAATTAAGACTTCACTTACCATTCGATATTTGCACCGGTAGTACCTCCTAGCCGGATTCAGATCAGTAAGAGAGGTAAGAAGATCGGGTTGAACACTATGTTTACATTCTAATTTCGGATTTGCTGAAGTCGGGAATGTTGCTGCCGAACTTGTCTTCCTATATGAATTGGAAGCGGTCAACATGAAGTGGTCTTCTAAACTGAGCAATTGTCTTCTACGGTTCTTCCTTAGAGCAGAGCAGAGCAGAGCACGTCGCAACTTCAATTTAGGAAATAAGGGTTCATCAGACAACAATTTTGATTAAATACAAAACTTACTCGTAAAACGACGTCGTTTGGGGATGACCTGGAAAAATAAATTCGAACTTAAACACTTTCGACAAAATGACGTCATTCCAGTGATTAGATGAGAAAAAAATAGTCTGATAAATACACGTCGGTATGTGAGTTGGCAGCAGACGAAAAGTATGTAACGTTATGCAAAGAATTGAAGGACGTGATATCGTATGCAAAAGTTAAAAGGTCGTGATTAATTTTCAATCTCGATAAAGGTCATGATATTATTTGCAATTTTGCCTATTTTAATTTTATTTTAATTTTTTTTATTATTAAAATAGTATCGCATGAATAAAATATTATCACAATCAAACAAGTAGATTTCATTACAATCAAAACTTTACAACACACGTAAATCAGAAAATACACAAAGTAAAACAAAATAATATTAAAATTAGAAGATTACAACACACATAAATCATAAAATACACAAATAAAAAACAAGATTTATATAAGATTAAATATTCATATATATAACAATTTATTTGAAATAAAAACTAGATAAATAAATGTATTTGATATAGAGTAAAATGTATAAATAAAGACTGTTGATATAGCCACAGCTAGTACTGCCGGCTCGACCGGTAGTATTTGATATAGCATG